TAGAGAAAATTGAAGAAACAGAAACTCTCCCAAACAGTTTCTATGAAGCCCATATCTAATACCAAAAGGAAACAAAGGCACCACAAGAAAAGAAAACTACAGGCCAATATCCCTGAGAGCCTTCCCTCTAAGATCAGGGACAAGACAAAGATGCCCACTCTCTCCACTGCTCTTCAATATAGTACTGGAAGTACTTCCAATAGCAGTTAGGCAAGAAAAAGATATTAAGGGCATTCAGGTAGGAAAGGAAGAAATGAAGCTCTCACTCACTATTTGCAGACGATATGATACTATACTTAGAGAATCTTAAAAAACCAAAAAACTCATACAGCCGAAGAGAAGGGCCACATGGAGGGCGGGATCCACAGCTCCCGGAGGGAAAAAAAAAAAAAAAACAGGTTCCAAAAAGAGCCAAGATCATCGGGAAGTCCCAGATGGGATAGGTACCGCATCCCGCCTCCCCCAGATGGAACCCCGGTGACCAGAAGCCTCTACAAGCACAGCTCGAGTATGTGGGAACTAGGACTTTTTCTCAAAACTGAGCGGCCGCGTAAGCGGCCGCACGACATCTCTCTATATACAAAGTGATCAATGGGAAGTAAACCACCCAACGTTTCTCCCTGAAAATCAGAGTTAAGATTGGAGCACGGCCACAGCCCCAGAAACACAAGGACTTAATGCAGAACCCAGCAGCTTGGAGCAGAAAAGTGAACGGACTATGCGTTAATCCAGGCCAACATGTCTGCCCAGAGGGGAAAGGGTGTTGCCCCATTCGTCCTCTCTTCTCTGGAAAGAAGGATGGCGGCCGCATGGGAGCCTTGTGGACAGCAGGTATGAGCCGGGGGGCGGCGACTAAAACCTCATGGGAAGGGGGGCGTTCCGGTCCGTCCTTCACGCCCTACCGAGGTCACCAGTTGCCCCCCACGAGCGGCTCTCCAGCACAGCCACGGCCCCAGAAGCACAAGGACTTAATGCAGAACCCAGCAGCTTGGAGCAGAAAAGTGAAAGGACTATGCGTTAATACAGGCCATCATGTCTGCCCGGAGGGGAAAGGGTATTGCTCCCTTCCACCCTCCTCCCTCTGGAAAGAAAGAAGGCGGCCACATGGGAGCCTTGTGGACAGCAGGTATGAGCCTGGGGTGTGGGGGCGACTAAAACCTCATGGGAAGGGGGGCGTTCCGGTCCGTCCTTCACGCCCTACTGAGGTCACCAGTTGCCCCCCGTGAGCGGCTCTCCAGCACAGCCACGGCCCCAGAAGCACAGGGACTTAATGCAGAACCCGGCAGCTTGGAGCAGAAAAGTGAACGGACTATGCGTTAATCCAGGCCATCATGTCTGTCCGGAGGGGAAAGGGTGTTGGCCCATTCGCCCTTTCCTCTCTGGAAAGAAAGATGACGGCCGCCTGGGAGCCTTGTGAACAGCAGGTATGAGCCGGGGGTGTGGGGGCGACTAAAACCTCATGCGAAGGGGGGCATTTCAGTCCGCCCTTCACACCCTACCAAGGCCACCAGTTGCCCCCCACAAGCGGCTCTCCAGCACAGCCACAACTCCAGAGCACAGAAACCAATTTCTTAACTATCTGACTTTCAGTAGAAATACTTCCAGGGTCAATAAGTAAAATAGCAGAAATCCAAAACCAACATTTAATTCTTGAACCCAGCTGTAGAAAGCAAATCACTTCACAATGCTTCTTCAGCATGTCTGATTTGGGGGGGGTGGGGGGTAAGTAAGTAAGTAAGTAAAGGTCCTCCCGTTGATCATCGATTTGCTCGAGCGAGCCCAGTAACATCTCCATTGGAGACTTTGTTGTTACTGTGTCTGGCATATCGAATACATCACGGGGAGCTTGCCAGGCTATGCCGTGTGGGCGAGATACTCTCGGTAACTTGCCGGGCTCTCCGAGAGGGGCGGAGGAATCGAACTCAGTCGGTCATGTTGGCTGCGTGCAAGGCAAACGCCCTATCCGCTGTGCTATCGCTCCAGCCTCGGGGGGGTGGGGGGTGGTAAACTCTAAATAATAGTGGTGAATCTTTTATTGAAACAATGAATCTAATCAAAGCAGATAGAGTGTTAACTAGAATTCATCTGCCTCACAGGGACTGGGAGGGGTGGGGGGTGGGGTTTTATTGGGGTTCTTCGTGGTAAAAAATAAGTATTGGTAAAGGGAAATGTGTTTGATATTTGCATGACTGAGACCTAAACCTGAAAGCTTTGTAAACTTCCCCACAGTGATTCAATAAATAAATAAATAAATAAATAAAAACCAAAAAACTCCTAGAAACAATAAACTTGCATACTAAAGTTGCAGGCTATAATATCAATACCCAAAAAGTCCATGTCTTTCCTATACGCAAACAGTGAGAGAGAAGGAAGTGACAAGAAAGAAACAATCCCGTTCGGACATTGGACATTGGACAGTCAGGTTTGGGCCCACAGTGACGAGACATTTTGGGCCTCATGGGATTGGGGTGGAGCTGGTTCTGTCCTCTCCGTCCCAAGGAGACCCCAAGTCATGGCCCACGAACGGCCTCTCTGGCTCCTGTTCAAGCTGCTTAACGGCCATGATCCCAGAGACTCTGAAACAAATCTTGAAACCCAGCGGCTTTTGGCAGAAGTGCATTCAGACCACGCAGTAGGTTAACTGTTGCCGGGCCACCCTATGGGGGAAAGGGTGTTGTCCCTCCACCTGCTCCCCCTTAAGTGTCTCGGAGGCTGTCATCCTCCAGAGGCCATTGGACAGTCAGGTTTGAGATCGTAGTGACAAGACATGTTGGGCCTCACAGGATAGAGGTGGAGCTGATCCTGTCCTCCCGACCCCAACGAGACCCCAAGTCATTGCTCACAAATGGCCTTTCTGGCTCCTGATCAAGCTGCTTAACAGTCATGATCCCAGAGATTCAGGAGCAAATATTGGAACCCAGCAGGTTTTGGCAGAAATCTCTCCAGATTTAAGTGTTAAAATTTTGAAATTTCAAAATCGAGCGGCCACTACTGCAGCCATGAGACATCATATGTTATTCATAACCAGCAACAGAAAACACATTGTCTACTGTTGCCTTTTCAGCAGATCTGAGTGTTGGGGTAAAATCTCAAATAATAATGTTGGGTCTGGTGCAAAATATTGAATGTGATCAAAGTAGAGAGAGAGTAATGTGGAAATCATCTGCCCCATGGGTACGGGGAGGGTGTGGGATGGGGGTATACTGGGTTTGTTGGGGATGGGAATGGGCACTGGTGAAGGTACGGGTGTTTCATTGTATGACCGAGACAGACTCGAAAGCTTTGTAACTGCTCTCATGGTGATTCAGTAAGTAAAATTATAAAAAATTAAAAAAAAATTAAGGTGGAGTTCATGCACAATTCAATCAGCTAATCAGTGGCTGAATAAATAGCAGTACTCCTACATTAAAAAAAAAAACCTATCCTTTATTTCTGGAGGAAAATATACCTTATCTTCTACATTAAAATATAGAAAATGATTGTGGTGCCGGAGAGGTAGCACAGTGGGTAGGGCGTTTGCCCTGCACGCAGCCAACCTGGGTTTGATCCCCAGCATCCCATATGGTCCCTCAAGCACCGCCAGGAGTTAATTCCTGAGTGCAAAGCCAGGAGTAACCCCTGAGCATTGCTGGGTGTGACCCAAAAAGCAAAAAAAAAAAGGAAATGATTGCAATGCTTTGTATGTGTTGACTTACTGTTCATATTAAAATATCTAACATCTTAAATGACAATACTGAAATTTACTAAAAGGCAGCAACTACTCATTTAAGTCACTCATCCTGGCTGGTAGTCTCTTGATGGGGCAGAAACACGAAAGGGTTGGAGACATAGTAACGCAAGCTGGCAGCTTGCCTTGGATACAGCCAGCCTGGCTTGATCCGCAGCACCCTAACTGGTCCCCTGAGCATGGCCTAGGGGTCACCCCTAAGTACAGAGCCAGAAATAAGCCCTGAGCACCATCAGGTGTGGCCCCCAATCAAATTTTAAAAAAAGAAAACATAAAAGATGCTAATTCTATTCTGCAACTGTTCCGATATGGTAATAAACGTGAGAGAATACAGTGAAAAGAACATTGTTCTTTATGCCAACTATCGATTTACTGCCTGAGAAATATCTATATTATTTCTCAATAATGCACAAAATCCCTTTCACAACTCTGTTAGAGTGAGAATGATACAAAATTTTCTTCAGAGAGCAGTGGAGGACAATGGGGAGGAAAAGGGTCTCAGCAGACAAGAAACTATTCTCCAGTTTCTGCTACAGTCACATGCACTATCCCTCAGGTGACCTTGCAGGCATAACCGGAACTTCACTTTTCTGCAACCCACTGAACACAAGTTCCAGGTTTCACACCAGTGCTCAAGTTTAGTCTTTATCCTGTGCCCAGCAACAATTTGCCAACAATAAGAAATCAGCATTGACCAAGGCAAACAAACGTCTAACTTTTCCACCAATGTCTAAGCCCTAATCTGAAGGAAGGGGGTCTGCCTTCCAAGCTCAGCCATCCCTAGACACTCTCCCTCAGAAGAACCCTTTAGGGTTCTTCCATCTTATGGTTATTCTTTATCATAGCTTAATAATTTTTCAAATTAAACTTCTCCCTTCTACATATTATGAGAGTTCTGTGTAATAGATAATATACCTGAGACAGACAAACCTAGGCTCAAATTTGAGTATTCGTCAGCTTGTGCCCCAGATCCAATTAAAATTATTTAATGATCTGAGCCTCAGGTGCTCTACTTATAAAATAGGATAGTATGCCACCCGTCCCATCCTAAGATCATAAATGAAATTATGGGTAAAAAAGCAAATACAAACACTCAGTAAATGTACTTTTCTTCTCCTCATCTTGATCTGTACTCTCCCGATCACTTATTCTATGCCTAAAAAGTCATAGAAGCAATTAAGGGTGTAACTGAGATAATTATAAATAAATGAACTGTTGGAAGCGGAAATATTACAAAGCACACATATTAATGCAATATAATTACAACATCGACCTTCCAGCATCTGTCTCCTTGAAAATTCCATCCTGATTGGGGCACAGTTCACAGCTAGGGGAAACACCACATTTACAGGCATCACAAAACCAAGGTTCGGTGGAGTTTTCAGAAGCTGAACTCATAATAGAGTCACTCTCTCCATCAACTCCATAGCAACCTGAAAAAAATTAAAATGTGGTTAAAGAGTGTTTATTTCATTTTAAAAATCACACAAAAAGAAAATTAGGTAAAAATTCTGGAAAACAAATTGTTTTATTAAAATATATTTTTTTGGTTTCAGAACCACACCTACTCCTGGCTCTGCTGGCGCATCACTCCTGGCATGCGCCTTACCTGTACTATCCTCAGGCCCTTCTTTAAATGGTTAAGTCAAACAAATATGGAATCGTCTTATAAAAATACTTTATCAACTACCATATTGTGCATACTTAAATTTACTATCTTAAATGATTTTAGACCTAACAGAAAAGGAGATTTAAAAGGAGGGGAAGAATATAGAAAGACACAAACAAATTCAGTCTATTGAACAGTGTAAATCACTCAGACAAGAATTAGATAATCTAAGTTCCACTCATGAGTGAACCAACTTCTAACAATTAGGTCACTGTCCTCCCATTGTTCATCTATTTGCTTGAGCGGGCCCAGTAACGTCTCCATTGGAGACTTTTTTTTGTTGTTACTGTGTTTGGCATATCGAATACATCACGGGGAGCTTGCAGGCTCTGCCGTGCGGGCGATATACTCTCAGTAGCTTGCCGGGCTCTCCGAGAGGGGCGGAGGAATCAAACTCGGGTCGGCCATGTTGGCTGCGTGCAAGGCAAATGCCCTACTGCTGTGCTATCGCTCCAGCCCTAGCAATTAGGTATATGCTAGAATTTAAACTTTATAATTATTCTATCATCTTTAAAAGTTTACCCATAACTGAGATGAATGAAAGCAAGGGGTCATTCTCTTTTTTACTTGTCAATGACAAACACATTAATACTGTTTTTTTTTTTAATTTTTATACCACACCCGGCATGCTCAGGAGTTACTCCTGCTCTGAGCTCAGCAATTACTTCTGGCCATGCTTGGAGGTGCCAGGGATTGAACCCAGATTGGCTGCATGGAAAGCCGATGTCACATTATATGTATATGTATATACATAAATACATGATGCTTGTGAATACAAAGACCAAAGATAACAGCATAATGTGTTTTTTGCATTTACGGGTAGGATATATTACATATTTCAACTGTCTTCTAATTATCAAAAGCAAAATTATCATACAATTAATCCCTTAAATTCACAAAAACCCTTGTGAATTTAAATACACATATCTGGAATAAAAGATATTTGAAGCTATTGTTTGGGCTTCCATATCCTACAAAAGTTCTGTAAAATCAAAATAGATTTTATTTAAAGCTAAACAAAGAATACATTTGATATCAAGATGCAAATCACTTTGAAATTCAGGTAAACCATAACTCTATCCTGGTAGGATCAGGTTCTCATCACTAATGGCACTCAATTCTATCTATGAGCCGGTGTTGATAAACACTCACAGTATCTGACAAACCAACCACACTGAAAGTGATAACATATATATCATCCCAAATAATTCTTCTCAGTATAAAGACACTAAGATTGTTTGTGATTTGCCATGTACTGACATCAAAAAAGTAGTGATAAAAATGGAATATGATGAACGGGAACTGAAGCATTGAAAGATATCACCGAGACCATTAAAAAAACATGCTGAAGTACAGAAGACTTCAAATAAAGACTAATCCCTGGTAACTACACCAATCACAGCTCAAAAACAGATTTTTCCTAAGTGGTTCCAGTTACATACCAACCTCAGACTTCATACAATTAAACCTTAGTATAGATGGAAAAATACAAAAAAAAATTTTTTTCTTATTCTAGAAGGGAAAGCATTCCCCCTCATGATAAGACATTCCTCAGAAAAACAACTTTATATGCATAAGTCTAGTTCCAATATATACCCTAGTTATCTTTGAATTTGGGTGTTTCTCTTATCTCTTAAAACACATTATATTAGCTCTCAAGATAGCTACAGATCAACTACTGATAAACTATTCTAATATGCTTTAGCCAAATATATACCAAGACTGTAGTAGATATATTAGAATAGACTACAGTCTTAGTACCAAAGTCTAAGGGATACAAAAAATAAACTAGAATAAACTTAGGATATTAGAAAAAACACTGTGGGTAATACTTACGTGACATTTATCTCTCAAAAGCTTTCATTATTGAGGCATATACCAAACTTTTAAAAATAGCCTAAACTGGAGTGTATCTTCTCACATTCACCACAGATGTAATTAACATAATATATGTGTATATAAATGCACATAACATGCATATATAAATACTGAGTTAAAATATTATAAATATATAAATACTGAGTTAAATTATTCAGTAATTTAGAAATTATTCAAAAGAGAGAGTCAAGTACAACTAGTAAACAACTTCTAAGTACCAGTATTAATTTAGTCAATATCATTAATAGCTTAATCATCATATGACAGTTTTTAATTCATGCAATATATATTTCAATTTGGCTCTTACCTCAGTTCCACTACTCACCCCATCCCCACCCACAAGAACCATATTGACTCCCACAGCACTGAATATTTATGGCCGACACTTCAGGTTAAGCTTTGCAGAGTAGTCCCAGGGACCCCCAGTAGCATTGGAGCCCCACCTTTCACAAGAATGTCCAGAAAAATAAAAGTTAGCTTGTTGCTACTGACTTACATAAGAGGTCTCAAGCAAATGCTATCATTATTGTCATTCTTATGCTATTCAGACTTCATAAAATTAAACCTTAATATAATTGGAAAAGTACAAAAAAGAATGTCAAAGAAAATATTGTAAAGGAGCTAAACTACAGCTGACAAGCTAAGCAAAGTCATCAAAACTCTTTAACTTTTTAAATGACACTAAATATTCACTTCATCACTACTGAAACACTTTTTGTTAACTTTGTTTTGTTTTGCTGTCATTGAGCCACATCTGGCAATGCTCAGGGGCTCCTGCTGGCTCAGTGCTCAGGGATCAATCCTGATGATGCTTAGAGGACCACACAGCACCAGGGATGAACAAAGGTCACCTGGGTGCATGGTTTAGTCATTAACTCATCTCTCTAGCCGTACACATTTTCTAAAATCACAAATCGTAAAATAAGCAATTATTTTCATCTTAGGAGTAGTTATTATTGATTGCCACCAGTAACAAGTAAGCAATTACCAACAAAGCTACCAAGGGTCTATCAATAACATTCACTGAAACCAAGGTAAATTACAAGAGTTTGCGTATTTTAAATGGAAGCAAACTTTTCATTCTTTTTTTTTTTTGGAACCTACTAAAAGCAAGGATACTGTGTCCATAAGCATTAAACCACCTACAAATCTCAGAAATAATTTCTGAAGGTATCATCTACAAAATTCATAATTCGTAAGTTAGAAGAACCAACAAAGGGCTGGATCCATAGCCGGTAAGGTGTTTGCCTTGCATGTAGCTGACCCAGATTCGATTTCCAGCAGCCCATATGGTCCCCCGAGCAGAAGTCCTGAGTGCATGAGCCAGGAGTAACGCCAGTGCATCTCACGGGGAGCTTGCCTGGCTCTGCCATGCAGGCGGGATACTCTCATAGCTTGCCGGGCTCTCGGAACCCAGCAGCGTTTGGCAGAAACGCGTCTAGTCCCCACAGTAAGTTACCAGCACTGGGCCACCCCAGAAGGGAAAAGGTGCTCCCTCTTGGCAGCTCGGTGGCCACCATCCTTCAGAGGCCATTGGACGTCAGGTTTGGGCCCGCAGTGACGAGACACATGGGACCTCATGGGATGGGGATGGAGCCAGCCCTTTCCTCCCTGCCCCAACGAGACCCCAAGTCACTGCCCATGAATGGCCTCTCTGGCTCCTGATCAACCTGCTTAATGGCCATGATCCAAGAGACTCAGAAACAAATCTCAGAACTCAACGGCTTTTGGCAGAAATGTGTCCGGTCCCTACAGTAGGTTACTGGCGCTGGGCTACCCCAGGTGGGAATAGGTTTCCTGCTTTGGCCTATGCCCCTTGGCAGCTCAGTGGCCGCCATTCTCCAGAGACCACTGGATAGTCAGGTTTGGGCTCACAGTGATGAGACACGTGGGGCCTCACGGGATGGGGGTGGCGCCAGCTCTTTCCTCCCCACCCCAATGAGACCCCGAGTTGCTGCCCACAAACAGCCTCTCTGGCTCCTGATCAAGCTGCTTAAGGTCCATGATCCCAGAGCCTCAAGAACAAATCTCAGAATCCTGCAGGTTTTGGCAGAAATTCCCCCAGATTTAATTGTTAAAATTTCGGAATTCCAAAATTGCATAGCCACAGTTGCAGCCACGTGACATCATATGTTATTCACAACCAGCAATAGAAAACAAATTGTCTATGGTTGACTTTTCGGCAGATCTGAGTGTTGGGGTAAAATCCCAAATAATAATGGTGGATCTGGGGTTGAAATATTGAATGAAATCAAAGTAGAGAGAGAGTAATGTGGAAATCATTTGCCCCACAGGTAGGGTGAGGGTGTGGGATAGGGATTATACTGGGGCTTTTGGTGGTGGAGAATGGGCACTGGTGAAGGGACAGGTGTTTCATTATTGTATGACCGAGACTTAAAACCCAAAACCTTTGTAACTGCTCTCTCGGTGATTCAATAAATAAATTTATAAAAAAAGAAAAAAAAAATTAAGGTGGAGTTCATGCCCAATTCAATCAGCCTAACCAATGGCTGAATAAATAGCAATACTCCTACATTAAAAAAAAAATTTCAAAAGGTGATCATATAAAACATGTTTCCATCTCCACACAATTAATATTTACTTCTGAGTTGCACATGTAACCTATACAAATCGTATTTAAGAAAAAAAAATTAAAATGCCTTGCACGCAGCCAACATGGCCGACTCGAGTTCGATTCCTCCACCCCTCTCGGAGAGCCCGGCAAGCTACCGAGAGTATCTCGCCCGCACAGCAGAGCCTGGCAAGCTCCCCGTGACGTATTCGATATGCCAGACACAGTAACAACAAAGTCTCCAATGGAGATGTCACTGGGCCCGCTCGAGCAAATCGATGATCAACGGGAGGGCCTTTACTTTACTTACTATT